TAACAAGATGGGTGGTGGATATTAGAAATATCTAGACTCATGAGAAGTAAGCAATATTTATGTCACCGGAGTTATTTTGCAGAGGGTACCTAGAGGTAAGCATTGGTGTAGTGAAGGAGAATTGAACATGGTTTTTAAACACAATTTTTATGAGAAAAACAAAAGCAGTATGATTTTTTTTTCCTTTTTGCTTGCTTATTAGTTTTCCATTTCTTTCTTTCCTTTCTCTGAATTTTCTATACCACTCTGTAGTAAATTGTATCAATTGTTCCATGAACTAGTGTGCAGGCAGTTTACAAGACCTGAAAGAATGGTGAATTCCCAGATGTGGTATAAACGTGATTTGGGATTTGACTGGTAGCTTTGCATTCTTTGCAGTTCCTTCAAAAATATGTGTACCAGTTCACTATTAATGCTTTAATGTCTGAAAGTTACCTGGAGGTCATATGAGATAAACAGTAAGGCATTTCACCTACCAGTATTACTTGAAATTACTGTCTTCACCCAAAATGTGGCTATATGTTATAATAGGCATATATGCGTTTTCTTTGCTGTACAGTCTGTCTTTGCAGGTTATTTTTTTAACATTGTAAACCTTAATAATTGTTGCTTAATCCTCTGCGTTCTTCTCAAAATCCTGTTGTTGGTGTTTTGCTTTTTCCATGCCATTTGAAGTTATTTTTGGTGCACAAGGAATCTAGAAACATGTCCTTTGCCTTTCCAAGCAGCACATGAGAGCATAAAGAATGTCCTTGTTCAGGGTGATCCCCTGGAGCCAAAAGGGAACTGTTCATTGACACTGCTGTGGCTCACACACAGGCGGGAGCACAGCTGCAGGCTTTGAGGGCGGCAGGACCTCCTCCCAAGCCACACCATACCATAATGAGCTCAACCACTTTCTCTGCAAGAACAGCTTTGAAAATGTCTCTCAGCATCTGTGCTTGTGCTTTTTTTCTCCTCCTTTTTGTTGTTGCTGACTGAGCACTTTTGTAGCAGTTTAGTAACATGAATTGCCTCTACCCCCATCCCACTCTCTTCTCTTTTCCAGAATGGAGTCTACAGAAAAATGTGAAGTAGTAATTCAACATTTTAATGGGAAATATCTGAAAACCCCTCCCGGTCTACCAGGTAAGTCTAGCCATCATTATGATGTTTAAAATTCACTGAAGAGTTTACAATACAGAAATGCTGGAATTTTTGTATTCTATATGAGCGTGGGTCATATTACTGGCCCTGCTAAGAGGGCAGACCTCCCTTCTTGAAGCCTATCCTTAATGACCTGTAGCAACTTCCTCCTTGACCAAGCTTGTATTATTTAAGCATTTATGCAGTGAATTTAAGTATGTTATTAGAATTGTGTTGTCTTACTGCTTTTTTTTTCTTTTAAATGCATATATTATATATGATATTTTTCCAATTAAAGCAAAGGCCATATAAGTAAATGCTGGTGCTTTTCAAACATACTAGGAATATAACTCAATCAGCAACTGCATTCATTATAGGTTATAAAATAGCTGGGATTTCAGGTTATAGTAACTTCATATTCTTTACAGTTACTAGTTACAGTTACTAATATTAACAGCAATAGCTGTTAATATTAACTGGGGATATTTCAGATATGAAGTGATTTTATACTATTTGTACTTGCCATAACTTAATGAAATCCTGTCATTTTCTGGTAATACCTGCAGAACACATTCATTGGTGTGTCCATGCCACATTGAAAGACAATTTCCAGCCAGTAGGTTGCTTTTAAATCTTCAGCTGTCATCTATGTGGCCATCAACTGTGCAAAGTTTAGTGATCTGTTGCCTAATTGTTAGTGTTTGACAAAGCCTTCCCAAAGGCCACAGATCTGCAAAGATTTCTCCTTCATATTTTCTGGAGAGCTGTGTTCAGTGAGCAGGAAATCCTTGCAAGAATTGCATCCAAAGTTGTTTTTTGTTTTTTTTCTTTTCTTTTTAACTTCCAGTAAACTATCTTCTTTTTTAGTTACTTTCATTGAATTCCTTCTTATTCATTGCCTGCTTCTTTATGCAGAAGATGCACTAAACACTCTAATTAAAAGAGAGCCATCTGCACAGCTACTGTGTACAGTAATTGAATGCTGCAATGTACATATAAATTTTAGTCAGATCACCTTCGTGAAAGAATATAACGCTTTTGGTACAAGCTGCAAGACTCCATTTAATGGATTTCTTTTTCCAAAGTAGTCACAATTTTTCTCGACACTAATGCACTACAGCACCAGCTTTGTGAAGTACAGCAGACTTGGGCTGCACGGGACAATGGGTAAAGCAACATAGGCAGAGACCTTAAACCTTTGACGTGCCTTACTGTATGCATACATTGAGTCCCAGTAGTAATCTGTTTAATATCATAGCAACACCCAATGGAAAGAGGGTGAATAGCAAGAAGTCAGTAAGTGCAGCTTTGTCATTAAAACCCTGCATGCTCCATGGTCGCATTCCTGGTTGTCTCAGAAAGGACACATCATTTGAGCCAGAAATAAAGCAGGATATTCTTACAGTGCCTGCTTGAGACAAAAGGGTACATAGTAAAGAATGAAACCTAGAAGTTGAAGATATTATATTTATTATTACATTTTTAAATTAATCAGGAATATATTGGGTATTCAACATCAACAATGTGGGACATCGAAATAGGAGTCTTCATAAGATAGCATGATTACTTAGTTTTGTTCCTATTGGATTTCAATGGTTATAACTTTTACTGCTTTCTCAATTAAAGGACATGAATCAGCTTTTAGTTTCCTGAAGAAGGTGTCCATGTGGGAAAATTTTCTGCCATGTTTCTCTCATGATTGTTGTGGTCAGATGGCATTTAGTTGCAAGAATGAGCTGGAAACTAACTATTTTGAGTTTTCATTTACCTAAGTACAATTCAGATGCAGATCAAGCATAATGCTTGGGGCAAAGCCACCAAAGCAGCAACTGCACTCACTCAACTGTGCATTAGATATCTGTAAGATCCCATTTTATCCTCCATTTTTGGAGGACAGGTTTTGTAGCTCCCAACACAGATAATTAGAAATTATCATACGGTATTAGATCCACATGAAAGAGAATATTTATGCCTCATTATTAGAGTAAGGCCTTCTTCAAATCCATGTTTAAAAGACTTTTTGAATTGCTTCCTCGTCTTCTTCAGAAGCCAGAGGGCAAACATGGTCGCTTGAGCAGTTGGGTACTGACCACTCATACTCATTTACCTTTGATCCAGTGCAAAAAACACTCAGTCCTAGTTTCTTCTTCTTGATGTAGATTCCTGATAGAGCTTCTACTCTGTTTATTCATCTCTGCTATGAACCTGTATTTAAGCTTCTCAGCAAAGATAGAAGTGTCTTGCTTTATCCCCTTCCTGGAGGTTGCTTATCTTCCTACATGAAGAAAAGAAAATCAGGTCTCCTAGTTTACTTGGAAAATCACAATCAGAGTCTGAAAATTATCCTCCCAGCATCCCAGTAATTGGCATAGAAAGAAAATCATCTCTAGTTATTGCTGTGACCTGTTTATGGATTTCAGTTAAAAAATGAGGAACCAGAGAACATTAGCGGAAGTATGCAGCACTAGCTGTTATTAACCTCTACTGCTCAAAGACATGATCTGACTGTGAGAGAAAATTAATCAATCCTTTTAGAGTTAAATTAAATTGATTTAGGATTTTCAGCTGGATTTCTTTTAGGCATAGCAGTGAACTGGGAGGGTTTTACATATTTGTCCAAATCTCCTCTCACCCAAGCTCTGATGTTCTGGTTCAGGTTTGCCAGCTTATAGAAGGTTGTATGAAGCTCATCAAGAAAAAAGCCCGACTGTGGGCTATTCTGTACTACCCTTGTTCCTGAGGCAGTGGGATTATGGACCAGCCAAACTGGTTTGGCAGCTATCCATCCATGCTGACTTCCTCAGCTCCCAGAGATGTGATCTGGGTGACAAAAGGGGGTTGTATGTGTGTGGGAACACCATGTCTGTAGGATAAAGTGTTCATGTTGTGGGGGTGGTTTTTCTTGGTTACCAAGTCATGATGAAAGAAGGACCGGAGTAGGTAGCTTTCATGTGACATTGAACAGCCCATCAGAAAGACTGGACACCATCAGAGTGGCTTTCATTATGAAGCAACCATGGACCATGAGTTTGTTCCTCCCAAATTCTCCCAAAGAGTTATCTCAAACATTCATTTTGAATACAGAGCTCTTTCCCAACTAGTGTTTCCTTGGCAAATGAAATGTAAATTTAACTTGATGTGGGGTTTGGTGTGGGTTGTTTTTTTGTGTTTTGTTTGTTTGTTTGTTTTGTGTTTGAGTTTTTTGGTGTGTTTTTTTTTTTGGTTTTTTGTTTGTTTGTGTTTGAGTTTTTTGGGGGGTTTGTTGGGTTTTTTTCTGAAGTAAAATAGGACTTACAGGAGAATCACTGTTGTGTAGCTGGATGTTTGAGCCCATCTAGGAGCCACACATCTAAGCTGAGCCAGGCCAACAGTAAGTCAGGAAAGGGTAAAGCAGAGTCGTATCTGCAAGGAAAGGAGAGCACACAGGGTACTTTGGAGATTCTGCATTCTGTGTGTTCTCAAGGCAAAAATATATCATTACTTGTTTGACTTTCTAACTTCAACGACTGTCTGTTGTCTCTTAAAAATTGTAGAGCTGAGCAGTGGCAGCTCCAGACCACCAGTGACAATGTAAAGGCTATTTTCTGGAGCTTGAAACATTTTGCTGCTCAGCTGAAAATTGAGCAATACCGAGTCTATGCTAGTGAATTATTCTCCTTAAGGGTGCTTCTCTGTCTGACTACTTGGCTTCGTTCCATTCCAAAGGGAATTGCCCCACTGTCGTCCTTGCTTAACTAATACGCATTTCATCATTTCAGTCTTAGACATACCGTACAAAATAATTGGTTGTCCCATGAATAATTAGTTTATATCTACATTTCTTCCATACCAAGAAAGTACATTTCTCCAGATATCTGGAAACTCTCAGTGCTTGGTAGATTCCATGTGAATTTCATAAATATTCTGATTAGCTTTGAGTGATTATTTTTTTATTGGGTTTTTGTGTTTGTTTCTGTTTTCCCTTCATTACCACTGCTATTCTGAGCTAAATAGACCAGGGCCTACTGGGTGTATTTTCTTCCTATAGAGAGTGCAGCCCCACGTGAAACTAATTGTATAGACCCTGCATTGCCACTCTGAAAGAGAAGTCAGCAAATTAATTCATCAGACTATAGCACTGTACGTCTCCATCAAGATGTCAAGGGCACTGCTAATGATGAAGGTAGCTCGCTGTCAGTCTTTCAGTGCTGCATCTCTGTTGGTGAATAGGAGACTTGATATGAAATCCTGCTAATCTATCACATTTTGCAATCACTGAATTAATATAGTTCCATCAGTAACAAATTGATTTCTCTTTGGATGGGCAGGCTTAGGGTACGTCTTTTCATAGAGTTTTTGTTCATCTCCCAGTATCCTTTGGATGCCATTAAAAAATTTCATTTTCTCTTTTTGAATAAATGCAAAGACTTAACAAGTTCTTACATTTCTCCCTGGAATTTCACAGGAATATGCCTCAATTGTGGTAATTATCCTCTGCTGATACATCCATTATGCTTCCTCACAGCATTTTCTAGTCATTATAGTACTTCCTAAATTTTGTTGGCTTTTGTAAATACTTTTGGTTTTCAGAAGACATTGGGCCAGTTCGTATCTCAGGGAAAAGAAGTGAGACACACGAATGTTACAAAGCATGGTCAAGAATCTTACTTTTTCATAGTAGCTCTGTGTGTCTTTTATTGCTAATTTTAATGACAAGTTACACGTCTGACGAAAAGAAAAAAGAGGGAAATACTGTTTCTCATGTAGGCTAAGAACCCCACAAGTAACAAGTGACTGGCATTTTGGGACTGAATTTAACTTGAGCAGAAACTCTTAAACAGAAACAAATCATCTGCAACAGCACAGATGTATTTCAAGTACCTCATATCTTGTTTTAATCATTATTGCCATGCATTTTTCTCTTTAGAAGGTCCCAAGCACTGCATTTTTACAGACTCATTTCACCAGAATGAATGTATATTTTCTGCCTCTCTCCTTAGTTTAAATATTTCTCTTAGGTCATC